GATGGGACAGATAATTCAGTACATTTTATAAGATTTTTGTGTCTGAGTTGGATACTCTGCTGTTCTCCTGAGGCAAATTTCCCCAGGAAGAGAGTCACATAAAAAGCCACAATGCAAGCTCTAAAGAGAATTTCTCCCTGCGATGCAGACTTTCTTTGAAATGTGTTTGGACTTTTCCCCCCTCTCTGTTACAAGTACTTCCTATTAGGTGAGGCTGGTTCTTTAGAATTTAGAGCGCATGACTCAGCCATAAGCAGGGCCCACACCTGCTCAGAGCCTGAAGGCCAATCGGCCGGGAGCTCCTGACCACAAGTGCAATAATGTTCAGTGTGTAACATGGGCCACAAATATGAGGGTCACTGCCACCCCCCTTCCCCACGCACACCTGCCTGCTACTAAAGAGCCGTATTCAGAAATCAGTAAAACAGAGCTATCCCTGCTACAGTCTTCTCTCTCTCTTTGGGGAGGGGAGAGTCAAAAAGCCCCAGACATAATGTCATAATAGGTGTTTGTGTATGTGACAGAGGGAGAGGGAGAGAGGGAGGAAGGTGAGATTGGAGTAAAAGGAAAAATAAAAATATGCAAAAAGCACTCATTTACTCCCAGGTAGGAATCCACGAAAAAGAAATAAAAGAATCCATTGTGTGACGTGGACGGGGAGCGAGGACTAACACTGGAGGCAAGAACACAGTCAATAAGGCCATCACTGTATCCAGGGGAGAGTCAATCAACCTGAACTCTGGTAGTGGCATGAAGAGGTGGAGAAGTGGATGGACTTGAGAGAGACTTAAGGGCGTTGACAGGGCAGAATAACTGAATCCCTGTCATGTGCTGAGATGTGATGTGGAGGAAGGATGGCTCCTGAGGTTTTGTCTTGGGCAACTGGGTAGATGGAACCATTTTCTGACTTAGGGACCCTGGTCGAGTAACAGGGGAAAAGTGAGTTCCATCTGGTTGCCCAGTCACTCAGATCTAACCCACAGGGATCCCATGGTTCTTGCACACAAGCAGCCCCCTGGCTTCTCAGACCTCAACTGAAGAATATTTGGACACATTTTTGGAGATTTTTAGGACTCCTGCCCTCTTACATCTGCTTGCAGACTCATTAATCTATGCAGCTTACTTTGGATTGGGGCGGTTGGCATTATGGATTTGTTAATTGCTGATACAATGTACTTTCTCCGCAGGCCATATGTGAAGAGCAGCACTGGCATTCAAGAAATGTTAAATAATAATGTAAATGAGAAAATTTCCCCATCCCAATATTAAAGGGATCCAAGGAACATTGACGCAAGTTGCCATCATCGGAGCCATTTGATTGCCTTGTCACCGTGGGACAGTGACCAAAGTGATGCTAATCTAAATGTCATCTGGAAAGAATACTGAAAATATTATGGTGAAAATTAAGTACTGCAACCTTAGGAGCTGATTTAAAAATTAGAAGATACAGTGATTTACATCTGTCGATTTCATGATCGCCAACTGCAACCAGTTGAACATATATTTTCCTTTTCCCTCTCAGAGAAAATAGGTTCGATTTTAAAGAGCTGGCCCAAACTAATGTTCCCTCAATGAGTGGTCCTCAAACATTGCTACCTGTAAGAATCACTTGAAGAGATTTAAAAGCATGGTGCTTAGGCCATATCCCAGAGTAATCAACTCAGAACCTCTGAAGGTGGGGCTAAGGTGTCAGCATTGATCAGGTCCCCAGTCATTCAATGTGCAGCCACGTTTGACAACCAAGACCTTAAACCAGTGGACTCTGAAGGCCAAATGCCTCACAGTTACCGGGAGGAACTGATTAGAAGTGCTGGTGTCCGGCTCCATCTAAGACTTGCTGAATCTAATTCTTTTCGGATGGGACCGAAAAGATTTATATGCAGACTAGAGTGTGGGAACCACTGCGCAAGCTGAAAATCAGTAGTGGCAACTGTTATGCCTTTAGACACAGATTAAATTTGTGTAAAAAATCCAAGTAGAGGGGAGAAAATTCAGCCCATCACCTGGGAGTTTGTTTTGAAAGGCTTTTTTTTTTTTTGCAGGGGCCATCCTGTTCATTGTAGGACATTTAAAAACATCCCTGGCCTCTGCCTGCTCAATGACATTGCACGAACCCTCTCAGTGTGACAATCAGCAATGTCTCCAGACATTGCCAGATGTTGCCCGGGGGAAAGATCATGCCGGGTCAAGAACCACCATTGCATTAGGCTCATACACGTATCTGCTATGGTGTAAAGATGCCAAACGTGTGGATGGTTCCACCTCTTGCCGTGAATGAGCTGATGGAGGGCAGACAGCTTCCTGGCTGACCAGAGTGTCCCCTTTGGATTAGGTGTCTTCGACTCACATAGGCACAGGTTGTCACAGAGATGTGACACAGGCTTCCGGGGAAGGTGGGAGAACCTCGGTCATTAGCCCCTGGGCACTCACTAATGATTTCCAGCTGCAGCAGGCCAGAGCTCTGCCTCCACCTTTGGGGCTGCTGAGTTAATAGTAGGTTAAAAAGTTAATAATTAAGTAAAAAGCAACTCGCTATCTAGTCTGAAGCTGGTTGTGAGGTGACAATAGAAATAGGTTCTATTGTTCAGTTAAATCCAGTGAAAGGGCCATTTGTGCCCATGACTCATGAATTCCTTCCTAATCTGGGTCTAAGAATAGATGACATCTCTACATGCAAACAGTGCTCATCCTGGTGCCAGAGGTTAGGAAAAGGGTCCACACCAAGGGCTGTGGTTAGTGTTCAAAGGAGACTGGCCCTTGGGTGATCTAACACTTCAGATACAGCCTTGGCTTTCTCCACCGTCCGACATTATCAGGAGGGAAAATGGACTTTCGACATTTTTAGGACAAAAATGGAAAACTCTTAAATTAATTCATGACTACTATATATCTCACCTGAGATGTTTAACCTCATATCAAAGGGCTGAAGCTGGCATCTCACATGTACACAGTGTGAATGCAGGGCAGGCAGTAAGGCAGGGAGGTGCAAATGCAAGCTCCATGTCAGAATATTCATGCTTGCATTAGGCACACACACGTATTTGTTATGGTGTAAGTGACCGAACTTATCTGAGCCACGAACTTCTCATCTGTTAGATGAAGGTAGTAATAACACTTATCGGGATGTAATAAGGATAAAATAAAATAATATATGTAAGCAGCACTCCACACAGTGCCTGGCATGTAGTGAGTGCTTATCAAATGGCAGCAACTGTCCTTATTTTAATTAAACCTTATTTATGAAATCTGACAATGTACTACTTCATTTGCTATTATAACCCATGGAAGATGATATTAGAGATTGGTGAGATATTACTGATGCTATGATTCTGTGTGCCCATTTTGTTGATGAGAAAACTGAGGCACAGAAAGGAGATACAATAATCCTAGATATACACAGAACAGGTTCTAATACTCAGATCTTTAGAATCTATGTACAGTGCTGATATATGCAAAGAGAAAGACCTTAGGACTCAGAACATCCGGGTTTGCTGCTTCAATGAGCGACTCATACAGTTTAACCATCTGCAAAAGTGATGTAAAAATAGCCCAATTGAAAATGTTATAGCAAGTGAGATAGACTATATAAAAGCGCTTTGTAAACTGCAGAATGTTACATAACTGATACTTAATATTATGATTTCTTCTTCTTTAAAAAATGCAGGCAAACATAGACCCTAGGACACACACAATCCTCTCATGGTACCATTCAAGATGCTTTTGGATAATTTTTCATGGCCCAGGGACTAGGTCAGGTTCCATCAAGGGTGACCATTCACTCTGTTCTTTTTCGATTCTGATCACTCCCAAAAGCAGCACCTTGGACAGAAGCCAGAGTCTCCAGGCACCTGCCACATTCTCAAGGCACTTTCTTACTGGTTACCCTGCCTTGCGACCCCCACAGGGAGGCACACATAAAAACTCCACTTCTCCTCCAGCCTTACATACTGCAAGTTCAGAAGACAGGTGTCCACATGGAATCGGGGCTTTCTGTGACCTTCACTATTAGACCTGGGTACACTGTGGACAGCTTGCCACCTGCTCTAGGAAGTGAAAGTTGGCATTGTCATCTGTCTGCCTACACACGAACTGCATATATTTCAGGGCTTAGAAATATTCCAGTGGATAAATTTATCCTGATGCACAAAGCATACCTGCTTGTGAACTCTGTACGGCTTGGCAAAGCCAGCCAGGGCCATAAAATCAGTTTCAAAACCACAATGAAGACATTTGAAAATATTAGTGTTAATTTGGAGTGAGGGTAGGGAAGGTGAAGAAGGACATAGGGGTAACACAGGAAATTATTGTAAATCTAGTTTTAAGGGGGGAAAAGCCACTAATTTGCCATTTTATCAATTCACAAAGAGAGTGTCCCTAAAGGTCACAGGAAACAGGAGAGGATAAACACAATTTTAGAACTTAAAAGTGCCTTCAGGGTGAGCTTATTATATAAGTGATTCTACTAAGAGGCTTTACTTTGTGACTTTATTATAAATTGTATTTGAAGATCAATTTCCTTCACAAATTAGTGTGGAACTGAGGGGAGTTTGCTGAAAACGATAGAGCCGCTATAAATGTATAGACCCATCTTATGCCAACACGTTTTATTTGCTCTTGAAACATAATTTCAAAATTATAAATCACGGGTTGCTTAATATGAATGACTTGGTAAGGTACCAGGACCCTAACTAGATGCCACTAAAACAGCAATCTGACTCATGATTCTGTTTATATATTGCTCAACTAGTTTTTAAAAATAAGAACATGTTTTAAGCATCACTAAACACCTGACTCAAATTCAGCCCTAATACATGGTATTTTCACCCATTGCTAGGATTATTTTAAAGTGTGCTCTTGACAAACCTTAAAGGAAAAGAGACCTCAGGAATACAAAAAGCTTGCTGTTTGCTAAGGTAGAGGTTGTGGTGTGGATGGGGGAGGGTGTAGGGGAAGGTCACAGACATTGCAAAATACAAGCCAATACACACGTAACTTCTTACCTTTTGGGCTCTGGGTTTGCCTGAGTTTTGAAATCTTTTCTTCTTTTACATTCCTTTTTTGTGTCTTTTTTAGCCTCTGGTTCAGATGGGGAGGGAGTTTTGCTCCCTTCAGGGTCTGTGTGTGGTGGCAGCCCACTAAGGTACACATGCATTTGTTGACTTTGGAGAGGGGGTGTTGGCACGGGGCATGCACAGAGAGTGGCCAGCACAGGAGAATCAAGAGCACACACACATGCACAAACAAAAGAAATAAAAAGAAGGATGCATCAAACAGCAAGAGCAAATGCATTCAAACCAAAATAATAAGGAAAAAAGATGCAAACTTGCATAAGGAAAATCAGAACTGAAAAGAAAATAAGAAACCCCAAACTGTTTCCATGACAAGATGTATAAACCTAACTGTGAAGCAAGTGGCAGTCTTACAATATGAAATCCAGACAATGTGTATCATAATTCATGATGATGTTTACCAGGGAGTTTACAACAACACTTCATTATTTTATAACACTTTCTTATTCAGTAACATATGTAGAATACAGTGTGACAACCCAGAGAATATAATGCAACTTCTCTCTCTCTCAAGAATTCAGTCCAAGAGGCTGTAACAGATAGTCATCAAAGTGTACATATTTATAAAAAGCAGAATTATGCACAGATACTTCTCAGGTATCAGGTTTTCAAAAATATCCTTTGTGCAAACAAAAGGTCATATGCAGGGCTAGTGACCCTGGTCATAATGGCAGATGATGAAAACCTTATTGCCCACTAACTATGCAAACCTGCAATGCTATTGTTATCTAGCTCTAAATGCTAAAGGTGCATTTGATAAAATCCACCACCACTAGAGAAAGGAAAGGCACAGAGCAGCTCCCACGGACATTCCTGAGTTGTATCGCCTGCAAAGATGAAGACGACTGACACGGTTCTGACTTGAAATAAATGCAGTCAGTCCAGGACTCCCTCACATGAGGATTTCCCAGAGCAGCAACCTTTGCACCACAGGCCGGGCTTCTGAAGCACCTAGCTTCCCCTGGGGGTGCCTTCCCTGGCGCCCGGGTGGGGTGCTCTGGGGTAAGGCAGGCTCGTCTTTGCAGCCATGGGAGGCTACATGCATTGGGCTAGTAAGCTGGCTGCGGCAGTGTTGAAATTTATTCCACGTCTTCAGAGCCAAATGCAAACGTTCTTAAATTATTTGCTGTTTTGCATTATTCAGAACTTGGATCTTTTCCTCCAGGAGCTGGGCAACGTCTAAAGGAAGAGAGTACTTTGTACAAAGTTAGGAGAACTGATGCTCTGGTCTTGTCTATGAAGCCTGTAAAACGAGGGGGCTGATCACACGGTGATCTCTGACGTTCTTCCCTGCTCGATGGCTAAACCAAAAGCCTATGATTATCTTTGCCTTTCAGCTTCACCTGCTTGTTCTAGCTCTTGAAATGGGCTTGGCTTCCTCCCCGTGCAGGGCATTTGCTTGGAGTTGCTCAACTCCTACACTTGCTTCAGTTCTCAGCCTGAGTATTGCTTCCTCCAGGAGGCCCTGCTGCTGACCTGCCCCTCCCTCAGAGTCCTGTTCCTTTACTAAATGCTGCCAGGACATTTTACCCCCTTTTCTCAGAGCACCAGTCTCTGAGCACCTCTGCCCTTGTTTGGTGCTTGGTTTCTGTTCACCGTGCATGTTGAATGTATTCCAGAGTGCCCGACCCTCCGTTGGTAATCATTTAATATTTATGGAAAGAGTGATGGTAACAGCAAGGCGAACCTTAACCCCTTGCCAGATCCCAGGCATGTTCTGTGCCCTTTCTGTGCCCTTGCATCCTCTCAACAACCAGCTTAGGACATCATTATCCTGTTTACAGAGTGGACTGTGGCACAGAGGCTGTAACTACCGCCAGGCCCTTGCTAGCGAGCGGAGGGGCCATGATCTGAACCGGGACGGCTCTCATTTCATAGGCCACTCTCCAAGTCCAAGTGCCACTTCCTTTAAGTCTCTTGAAGGAAAGAAGAACCTAAGGCAGCCCTCTGTGTTCCCTGTGTCTGTGTGTCTGTGTGTCCTACTGAGGGAATGGGGAAGGGCAGAGAGGTAGAGGTGACCCTACAAGCAGGACCAGGCAGAAACCAGGAACATGACCTGGAGGAGGACCTGCGGCCGGCGCTCACCTGTTCCCGTGGACATGGGATGCACAGAAGGCAAAGCTGTAGTGGAGGAGGGTGGGGTCGATCATGGCGCCGTTCTCCGCCCGCTCCAGCAGGTCTCTGAGGTAGCAGAGATGCCGGTGACACCCGCGGACTCCGTTCCGGGCACAGTACTCATCTAGCACAAACACCTGGCCAGGACTGAACCAGCCCTGTTTGGGAAATAAAGGAGAGACTTCCTTTTAAATACGGGTTGTTGCTGTTCTTCGGGAGGGCTGCAAGAGTTGGGGGAGAGTGTGGAGGGTTAAAAATAGCCGGAGCTGATTGCTTAGTAAGTGCCCGCTGCTGTGCTAACCCCTGCGGTGCTGTCGGTGTAACCTCAGCCCAGCCCCGCGAGCAGCTGCCGGTGGCCCTGGCGATGGGTGGGAACTCATGGCATTTCCTAGAGTCTCAGGGTTGGTGAGTGGAGGTGTCTGATCAGCAGAAAGCATGATTCAGAGAGGGCCTCCCACTTTCCAACACTGAGCTGCACATCGTAGAAGAGTGTCGGAGTGGGCGTGGGGCAGTCTTCATTACCGACAAGACAAATGAAAACATGAGTGCCTTAGAGTGGGACAGTGCTCCATCCTTGACAAGGAACTTTCAGCAGAGCCCAGGGCAGCCTCGCGGAGGAGACAGGGCAGATTCCTCTTCATTTAACTGACAAGGAAATGGATCAGGGCTAATAAGTGACTGACAGAAACTACAAACAGAGGCAGGACTCGAATTCAGCTCTGTCTGACTCCGCGTCTTCTGGCTTTTGTACTCTGGAGCCTTAGGACATACTATGACTGGTCTGCATGCATACCAGGACTTCATAAATCCCCCACTGGGGAAGCAAACACTTGGGGGGAATATAGTCAATAACATTGTGATAACTATGTAGGGTGCCAGGTGGGTACTTAAAGTGTCAGGGATGGGGGATCACTCTGTAAAGCACGTCCTTGTCTAGCTACTATACCGCACCTCTGAAACTAATACAGAATATATTGAATGTCAACTGTCATTAAATTTTTTAATTATGAGGATACTTTCCCAAAGAGAATAACAGACTAAGTTTTGAAGTAGTGAGTCAGATACAGTTCAGTTAAACGTAGAGGAGCTTCTGCCTTAGCACTCCCCCACCCCCAGCAACTATTTGTCTTATTATTTATTTGCTCGCTGAAGGACCAGGTGAAACTCTGCCATGAAAGAGAATCCCTGACTTGAGCAGATTGGGGGGCACTAGGCACGCAAGGAAACAGATGCTCAGAGAGGCCAAGGGCCTTGCCATTCAAGGTCACCCCTGGGCCAAGCCTGAAGCAAATGACTGACTTCTTTTGGTTTCAGGACTTTTCTGAAGCAAGAAATAAACCACTCGAGGTGGCAGTTTGTGAGCTGGGAATTTAGGATTGTTTTAAATATAAAGTTAATTTTACTCGGAGTGTCTTCTCTGAGTCACCTTTTGAATACTGCTTTGTCTTGGGAGAGAAAAGGCAAAAGGAGAAGGTGACAGGGTGCAGGTAGAGGCCACAGAAGGGCAGTGAGGGAGGCCTCTGCCACCCTCCGATCTCATATTAGTGATCTGCAGACTCTTCCACTGACAACCTGCAGCTCAGCAATGCATCCAACGAGACGGCATCTTTCCTATTTCAAATGATAAGTTACTGCAGAGGGCGGGAGAGTAGTCGAGGCAGTGGGCTGCCCCTATAGGCAACTTCTTTGCCACTCCATCTGCTACCCCAAATGCTAAATCTTAGAAACAACACTGCTGTGAAAGATTAAAATATATTTTCTACGACTCGGATGACACCACGTCTTTTGTAGATGCCAAAATAGCTGCTTTGAAAAGAGTTGAAGAAATATCAATTAGGAACTCAGTCGAAGACACAGAAAAATTTATGTATCCCTGCTGGTCGGTCTCCAAAACTAACTGAAATAAAAAGATTGTAATAATGAGAAAATGGAATAGAGAGGCAGGAGATAGGGCTTTTTAATTGCTGTTATTTTCTGAAACTTTGGGATGATGATTAATAGATATAGGTATGCAAATGGGAAAGAAAACAATTTTATGCTATTATAATTAATTCTGGATTTGGGAGCATATTTGCAAGCTTATATATGACTAATAGAACACAGTTTCAAAATCAAAATTTTATTTCTGGTTTATTTATTTTATTTTTTAGAAAATCAAGTCTCCTTGGTGATAAATTTCTCAGTGAAAGAGAAAATTGGTTTTAAAAAATGATGTAAAAAAAGTCCTGAAAATAATACACCTCAAAAATTTTTTTCAAGAGAAAAGAAATTATATGTGAAGATAATGAGTAAAGTTCAGAGGCATATTCTTACAAGTTTCATGTATGTAATTTATAATTACACTAAAAATCACATAATCGTTGGAAATACATTTGAGAAAAATTGCCTTGCAATGCAAGGTAAGCTTTTTTTTCCTTTTTATTTTTTTTTTAAGTCAAAATGATATTTTCCTTTCCAATTTGGCAAAGTTCAGATTCTTCTGATCAAGTGATTCCAAACCTGAGATAATCAATGCATCTTTTATGAGATGCAGATTAATAAATTATTCCACATAATACTGCTTTGCTTTTTAACACTATTTTTATCTACACTTTTTAATATTTTGGCCTCAGGTACAGAAAAAAAGAAAGAATTTAAAATAAAAATTAGTTGGAATAGATTTAGGATATAGCTATGCCACTTAAAAAGGAAAATATTTTCATTATATGTATGTTAATATAATGACATGTTAAGTATATCATGTTAATTACTGAAGTATATCACATTCATAATCTGCAGATATATTAACCCTAGGAGCAGGGATGAGGCTTTTCCTCTGTGTAAAGTCATTTCATCATTTCCCTCACCCTTCCCATCTAAAAAGTGGAATTCATAACATTTACCTTTTAACAATGAAGTAATGTATGGTTTGCAGAAGAAAAGAAATTGGGTCCTTTTTAGGCTTCCAACTTTGATAGTAGAAAGCCACAAATGTCTCTTCGGGAATCCAGTAACGACATAATAACAGTCTCTTGAATGTAACCGATTTAACTCTGGGCTTAAAACAGGATTGCAAGAGACGTGCTCCCTTGCTGGGAGCTGGACTTCCAAACGCCTAACACGTCATAAAAACTTCCCCCAAAGGGTGAAATGCTCTAAATACCACTAAGAGAAAGAAGCCACCCACCCAAGCAAACCCAAACCAGTTGAGCTTATGCGAAATCAAGTGGAGTGTGTTTACAAAGCACTTTAATCTTTCAAAAATAAACGGAAAGGACACATCTCTTTCAGAGACAGGAGCACAGGGTCTACTCTGGGATGGGGAGGGAGGCAGATCTTCAAGTCTAGAAACCGAGTCGGGTTTTACAAGTTCTCCACCAGCAGATGCCAAACTCGATTACCCTCTTGGGAACATTTCTCATGTAGCAGCTGAAAAGGGGGAAGCTCGGATAGGGAGGCTGGGGAGTTGGATCGTCTCTACTGACAACTTCCTGCCGACTTCTTTCTCTGGGAAGGAAAACTACCTCGACCCAGGAAATCAAGGACACATTGATCATTGTTAAAGGGGCTCTGTACTGGAGAAAAGAGCTCCTAACAGCAAGGTAAAGAAATATTTCATTTAAAAAAATGTCATCGTGTTTAAATTGCTGTAGACCAAAGAATATACTTGCCAGGCAAGAATAGGAATCATTAAGTCTGTGATCCAAAGTAAGGCGTTGCACCATCTCAAAGAGGGAAGCGTGGTCAAAGTTACAGGGGTTGGACGAGATAAATTCATCCATGCCATGCTTTTGAGCTCTATCTGCGTCTGTTCATTTATACATGTAGAGAGAGACACAATTTAGAGAAACACATCACATTTTCTTTGACATTTCAAATACACAGGAATTCACTAGGCATTACGAACGCTAGCTGTTTCCCATCGCCTCCCACCAACACCCCCCAGATATTCCTTTTACCTTCCCATTGTCAACTTGCATCACTTACTGGTGAGTTTATTGCATTTAGGCAAGAATATATTGGCATCAATATGTTTATCAAATGATCACAACTCCAGTGCCTTTATGCCGTTCTTTTAAGACTAAGCACACGACCGTAACTTCACCTGCTTTTCACCGAACACTGAAAGCAGATCGGGTCTTTGCTTCTAAAAGCCTATTTAGCTCTGTAGGTTTTTAATAGATTCTGCCATTCCAGTGGTTATGTCTAGAGCAATTTCTCTACAATTATCGGGATTATCTGGAAAAGGGTTAAGCTGATTTTCAGCAAAGTGACAATATTTGTATCCACCCCTTCCAGGGCCCCACTGCCAATTTGGTTTCACAAAAGGTTTGGGTCTCCACCCTCCAAAATTAAAAAAAAAAATAATAATAACAAAAGATTTTCATTGAAACCTGGAGAATAAGTTAAAGGGGACTTAGTTTGGGGTAGCCGGGGACATTGCCTTTGCGTGTGTGTGCTCAGCTAGCAAAGCCTATGGGAGAGACAAACCAATGTACTCCACAAGGGCTATGATCTGCCATTTATTGTGATTTAGTAATCTCAATGTATTCACACTTTTCCTTACAGGGTGAAGGCTGTAGGCAAAACCTCCTAGGGGCTAACTAATTAATCTCAATATGTGTAACAAAAATACTCTACACTCAATCGGCAAAAGAACTCAGAGAATTCAAGCACATCTGATGAGGTAGGAATGAAGGTCCGAGACATTAAAGGAGTCAGCTCACTCCACCTCACATGTGTTCACTCTCCTGATATGCAGACTGTGGAGAAAAAGAATCTTGTTTCAAATCAAGCAAGAGTTGATTCATTCCCTGCCTGCGCTGTTCTACTGGAGTGCGGGGGCCTGCCAGGGACCAGGAACGCTGTCAGGACACAGGGAAAATCGATGTTTGACTTGAGAGGGTGTTTGGGTAATATTTTCATACGTGGCCTTCATTCCAGGCAGCTTTGTCCCCCTTCCATGCCTGGGGAATGGCTGCAAACTTGGGTTACAGTAGCAGTGTGACTTTAAGATGATGATTTAAGATGACGATTTATGTAAAGTGATGATTTCTCCTCACATTATAGATTTTGTGGATCTAAGCAATGTATGCATGGAATGTTAGATTTATGCCTCCTTATTGTTAGAATTTTCAAATCCTCAGTCATTTTTCACAGAAGCAGCAAGTGGTCAGTGTTTGAGCAGCGTGTGCTGTTTGTGCCCGAGACGCCCAGAAGCGACGGTTTCCAGAAGGCACGTGAAGGAGGAGTATTTTAATAGCCAAATCGCTCCTTTCGGAGGGTGAAACACAGGCTTTTAGAGGGAATATCACATGTGCAGAAATTATATTAGAGGATCTGAAAGAATCCTCATTGCTGTGTTTATTGTCAGATCTGTATTCAAGGAAGTGCTTTCAATGTGAGATTAGGTGCTGTGTTTAGGATTCTTTTATTTGGTTGTTCGGTCTCCAAGCTACTTTCTCCCTTGACTCGGGGTGGTTGGCAAGAGAGGTGGCCAAGAAGTTGGTGCTGGGGACAAAAGCTGGCTGCTTCCAGCGTGTGCGTGCATCTGTGTGTGTGTGTGTGGGGGGGGGTGCCTCCTCTGGCCCAAGACAAGTGTTAAAGCTGCTCCGACTTCAGGTCCCCCCTCCCCACAGAATGGCACTCCTGCCACCCAGGGGTATCTCTGCATCGCTCCGCTTCCTCCTGTCGGCCACTTTAATTCAGGAGAGACTAACCGGGGTGCATGGATTGCTCATCCGGTGGCACCCCCTGCCCTGCCTCCCTGTTGGAACAGACAGACAGGCATTTCTTAGGTAGCACAGCTTCCTGCTCTGGGATTTCTCAGAAGGAGGCTGCAAGCTGATACATCGGCCCGGCCCTTTCTCTGCCAGTTTGGCTCAGCTACTTTATTGCTCTTCAATGATGATGGTGCCCCCGGTCATTTAGCTCAAAGAGAAGGGGGCTCTTTTGTAGCTGGTAAAAATATGGCACGTGTCTCATGTCGCTGACTCTTTCTTTTTGGGTTGAACCTCTTGAAAACTTCGCGATGAACTATTTTGCCTGCTGCCCGCTCAGGAAACGGATCTGAAAAGGCCACTTGGCTCCTTCGCAAAGATCTGGATGCAGATCCCCGCACCGCCTTCCCACCCACCACAATGCGCCTTCACCTGCCAACTCTCGGCCCAGAGCACATCTGACGAACAATTGTGGTTTTATGTTTCAACACCGGCTCACCAGAAAACAGGCTTTAGCTGGTTTTCTTTTTAGAAAGTAACCCTATTCACATACAGTTTCCTTTCCCCATCTTCCTTTCTTTTCTCTCTCTGGGTCCTCCTGTAGGATGAGCCTGGGATGGGTGTGGAGGTCTGGATTCAAGTTTAAGTTCTGTTACCAAATAGCCGTGGGCTGCTGGCTGAGCGATCTCTGACCCTCCGCTTCCTGTGCAAAACGAGCTGAGCTTTCAGTTCCCTTTCTGCTGTCACGGCCGTTCGGCCACCTTACGATCCCTCGCACACCTTCTATATGTGTGGGATGGAACTGAATGGAGTGGCAATTTCTAGCAAGCAAAAGGAGCAGCCCCTGGGTTTTGCTTACACAAAATCGCCATTTACTCAGAATCAGGCTCCTTATCTTAATAACGGTTCCAACTACTCAAGAGCACTTAAAAGGGTGGCTGGCTCCCGTGGAATCTTTGAGGGTTTCATTGAGCTTGTTATATTCAGAAAAGAGAAAGAGGAGTGGAGGCCGGGAATACTGTTTTAAGATGTCAGTGGAAGGGATCTGATTTTTATGTTCCTTTCGAGCAGGGATTGTGTGTGTGTGTGTGTGTGTGTGTGTGTGTGTGTGTGGTTGTTCTCATTATATTCGCAGAACCTAGATTAGTACCTAGCACATGCATATTAATATAATGAGTTTATTTCATTAAAATAAATAAATGCACTCTTTCAACAAGTATTTTCTGTTTCTTGAATTCTTGGAATGTTGACACACTAAATTCAACGGGAACAAGTTTATTGAAGCTAAAATAGCAGGTGGCTAAGTGGGTGAGCTTAGGGGCTCCCAGACTGACTGAGGCCAGCTCTGCCTTTCTGAGCGTGACACGGAGGCAGGCAGGTTCGTAGTTCTGAGTGGCATTTTCCTCACCTGTGTGCTGAGCTTAATGTTTGAGTCTCCCCCCAGGGGCTGTGGAGAGGCTCAATGAGAAGGGGCGGGGAAGCACCTGGGGCCTGGCACAGGGTAAGTGCTCAGTCCACTGGCCCTGTGAGTGAATGCACAGGCTTCCTCGTGCTCCCAAAGCCATCTTTTTAATGTGATTAGGAGTGAAGGCTGTCTCCAAACTAAAGCTCCTGTTAGTCACAGGCTGCTTCTTAAACTGTTTTGTTGCTCTGAAGCTTGGAGTCCTTTCCAATCGCTCCGCTTTATGCTCCTCCTGGCCCCTGTATAGCCAACTCCTAGGTCAGCGGTTCTCAACTTGTGGGTCGTGACCCCTTTGGGGGTCGAATGACCCTTTCACAGGGGTCGCCTAAGACCATCAGAAAACATATATATAATTACATATTGTTTTTGTGATTCATCACTATGCTTTAATTATGTTCAATTTGTAACAATGAAATTGGGGGTCACCACAACATGAGGAACTGTATTAAAGGGTCGCGGCATTAGGAAGGTTGAGAACCACTGTCCTAGGTCCTGTCTTTGTGTTTTCGCTGGGTATGTTCCAGTTTCTCTGTGGATTTCCTTGGTGGGTAATATGTTCCTCGGGGGTAAGTTTCTGATCTGTAGTTTCCCCTGCCAGCTCCCGGAGGAGCTGGGCCCTTCCGAGGTGTTCACTAATGGACTGATTCTGACACTTCCACCCCAGGAAACTTCCCACTGACTTGAATAAGGAGTCACACACATGGGGATTCAGATGGCATCTTGCAAATCCCAAAGTGGGAACATGTGCTCTTAGGGGAAAAAATCTCATAGAAGGAAACAGAATTGTAGGTGCAGGTGTCTTTGGCTACCGTTCAGACTGTCTGCCTGTGTCTCCATACATGTCTAGGACCATATGCATTACATATGTTGTCTATTTTAAAATAAAACACTGCAGTGGTCCAGCTGTTCCAAATTCTGTTTCAAAGAACTTGTGGGTGCTTCCCAAGCAACACCATATAGTCATTCTTGCACTGTCCCAGACTGTTCTCCTACGGTGCCAAACATTAAAAATTAAATGCTCCTTGCAACTCCGTTTTCCCCTCTACAAACAATTGGATTTGGTTGATTTTTAAAAAATGAAAACTCCAATGTTGACATTACAAGGGGGAAATAACCCAGAGCCAAAGTATAAGAAAGTTAATTCTTGAATTCGGGACACCTTGGGATCCCTTCCTTTGCCAATGTTTGGCGGGTGTCAACAGAATGAAAATGAATTTTAACAGTAGGGTGAGCAAATTAGAGAACTAGGAGAGTCAAGTGGCTGCTTGAAACTCCAATGATGTTTGTATTACCCCTTGCTTTAGGGAGATGCATACCAATGCTCTTATTATTATTACCATTCGTCATCATCATCATCATCATCATCATCATCATTTTTTAGAAATCAACGATTGACTACTGCATTTTACGGATTGACTTTAATCTTTGCCCTTTACCTTTACCAGCCCTGGTTGGGCAGCTCCTAAATTGTGCTCAGTTGGCAAGGGCTCCAAATGTACTGCAATGGGCTATGCAACTTATAGGACCTGCAGCTCGGGCATAATCGAACACACCTTTCAGACAATGCTACTTGTTTCTCTTCTGGGTGGGTAACTGCATCAGGAGTGCGAAGTCCTTTACGGCGTGGGCATAGGAGACTGACTTCAGGCTAGACTTAGGTGGGGAAAGCTGATACTGGCACCTCACTGCACTCAGAAACTTAGCGCACTATCAGTGGCCTCAACGGCACAAGTGCAGGCTGATGGACACAGAGACTTATGGAAGGAGCGCTTCCAAGTGGAAACTAACCAAATCCTTTAACCCAGGTTTGCTAAGAAGCAATTTTGGTTTGGCATTTAAGCAATGTTGGAAAAATATCCGTTCCTAAAATGCTACAATTATGTAGGTTCTATACTCTCATTTAATCTATTGATTAAACTCAAGTGATGTTCCTGATCGACCACCCTACCATTTATAGTGTTCTGTAATTGATCATGATGTTTGATATTCTCAACCATGTCATGTTTGATATTCTTTCCCCTCCCCCCTCACAATGGGAATATATATATATATGATATTTTTCATGATTTCTTAATAACAAGCATAATGTGAGTTTGTTTCAGATATAACAATTTTTAGATAAGTTTGCAATAAGTTCTACCAAACAAATGTAATTTTCTTGGGGGAAATAATAGAGCTTTCAGTTTTTCATTCTATTGAGATTTTCCTATTATTCTAACAGCTAAAAGAATGAAGACAAAAGTTCAATCTCTCTATTTTGTAATATTACATTTTGGGACTTTTTGTGGGCTGGAGAAAGAGAAATTCTGCTGTTGAGAATAATTATGATTGTATTAATAAGCTGTCTGAGAGAGGCTCCTTTCTTTAATGAATCCCTTTTACAATAAGCTGGAGGTAGCTGTTTTATCTCTGAAATTCAGAGCACAGTTATGGCTGTTGTGACTCCGGATGGATGCTAGAGGCAAGAGAATAGCTAATGTAACTAAAGTCGCTGTGAACCCAAACTGCAAATTAAAAGGTGACTTTGTGTCTTTCTTATATGGAAAATGTGTACTTGTCATATCTGCTTGACAGTACAAGAGTGAATGTATGGTTTGGACAATAACGAACAATGACAGTAGTCAACCTCATCAGAAGACATGAAATAAAGAAGTGACAATGATTAATGGCAGCTGGCTGTTCACAGAATTTTCTAGAAGAGCTTTTCTTGGCATGATCAAATAACCAGGGGATGTTGCTGTGCCCCTCCTGAGCTCTGAGCAGCAAACAAAAGATTGGTCCTCCCATGCCTGCTGTCCTTGAGAATCAACTTAATCCCTTCATAGTCCCTCCGACTAAATCAAGCTAACGGCATGGCCAAGAGAGGATGGCTTCTTCAGAACTATGAAGAATTTTGCAGAAATGAATTTTGCAGAAACTTTGAATTAAAAACTATTATGGCATATATGCATAATAACCCATGGACACAGACAATAGTGTGGTCAAGGCCTTGGTGGGAGTAAGGTAGAGAAGGGCATTGGGGGATACAAAGGGAACATGTGTAATACTTTCACCAATAAAGATTTTTAAAATCCTATTATGGCAATACACAGTACACACAAGGGGATAAACATGTGATGTGTATTTCAATGTTAATTTTTATAATTCTTTTTAAGACAACTGCTTTGAATAAAAATCATAACAGAGATTTTGTTAATGATTTCAAAATAAATAAATTATATTGAATTTTCCCTGCTGTAGTTATTACATCTTCAATTAATTTGCAGAGTACTTGATGTTTTTACATTCCCTACAACATGAGCAAAAATAAGTTTTCTCTAGTTGACAGAATTAATATGTTAAATGTGCCTGAAGTAGTTAATAAAGAAATGAAGCTTCATTTAAGGTGGTCTATTTAGGTCATATCATGGTATTTGGAAAATTTGGGGCCTGATTGTGGAGATTTATTCCTTTAAAAGTTCATTTTCTTTTACAATGAGAAGGAAAGTGATTTACAGTGTGGTTTGGGGTCATGCAAATTAAGTTAATATTGAATTAATTCTTTGATATCACACTCCTGCAATGTAGCAACTGCAAGTTGACAATACAAGAATATATAGCAAAAATCTCAAGAGATAAAACTGTAGAAAGGAATTAAGGCAAATGAGTATCGGAAAATCTACTAGGATAGCAATGCGTTATTGTGCAAATACATGTAAATTTACGCAGAACAAAATCCATTCAGTCATCTATTCATCCATCCTTTCTTTCATTCTTTAAAAAAAGTAAAGCAAAATCCTAAATTCCCACTAAGTTCACATTCTATGGTAAGCTTTTAAAAATGCCTCATCAGACATTCAAAGGAAATAAACTTATATTATTTATCTGCTTGGAGTGTTAAAAAATCTGTCTGCTAGCCAGGGGTACATTTATGCAAAATAAAAGAAAAAAATAAAGGGGAAAAGAAAGCAAATTCAATAAACAAAAAGAATTAGAAGAAGGACTATTATTAAATGATTAGGGAAAATGATATGACCTACGACTTCTAAATTAGCATTCAAAATACTCAAGTACATATTTGCCTGCTCTCTTGACCAATTTTTCTAGCTCCCTCTAATGTCAAGTCTGCCTCAACACAATTTTTGGTGGTCAGGTTTTTCTACATGAACAAAGAAACTGTATACTCTCTTTTATTCATAACTCAGATAGTGAAAAAAAAGATTTTCCTAAGTTTTAGGTTTTGCTCTTTCAGGAGTATTTTCAGAAAAATTAATACAAATACAAGTGATGTTGAAGAAGTTACCATTGTCATTGTTCTTGGGGGAGTAGCAGAGAGACATTCGAGACCAGAAGTCAAAGCCCTCCCTGGCACTGTGAGATTGTGAACCAGCGACATGGACACAATCGAGTCCTTAGTTTCCTGTTTGCGTGTGTGGTAGTCCCATGCAGTACTGCTCTCCTTTCAAAATTAACCCTCCATTGGGTCTTACTTAGAGCACACCCTCAAGCCAGGTAGAATTCATTCTTTAGTGTTCAATGAAGACATTTACTTTATTAATGGTATTCTGCAATTTCTTAAAGTTTTGTTCAGTTTCCTACCCCACCTTTCTATTTGTTAAAGCATCTATGGTTACCACACCATCGGGACACTGACCATTCCGGTCTTTGGGATGGGAAAGGAAAAAACGAAAGCAGCAACACAGTGTCAGAGAGCAGGGTGATCTGTTTTCAGGCATTAAGCAGTCAGGTGGCTGTGAATTCCATGAAACAAAGGCATTAGGTGCCATTTTGTTGTGATGTTAATATTCTTGGAATGAAAAAAATGAAATGTTCATCGTTGGCTTTACTCGGAGGATCATTTGATGCCAATATGAAAGCCAAGGAGAGGAGGCAATTATGCACACGTCACATGCATCCTAGTTTCAGTATGAAGCTTACATTTCAAACCTGAGGTCAGGAAAGTAACATGAAAAATTTTACTACAAAGTCTAGACAGGAGAAAGATATAAGGGAGAGGGAGGAAGCACATTGCAGGTGTCAGATAATCTAGTCTGATTATCTGAGCTGTGCTAGCTATAGGGGAACACTTACCCTTCAGTCCAGCTAGAAGTTAGCAGGGTAAGAAGGAACAAACCAGAATAACATAAAGACTAGCAACAAGGCTCAGGAAAGCAGACAGGAGTTCTAACCTAGCAGCTAAAGTTCTTGGGTTTGAGCAAAGATTGAACAAGAAAACTTAAATGAAACAAAACAAAACAAAAACCAAAATTAACCCCTCCCCCCCAAACCAACAGTAACCAAGACCCCTCTAACTGTGGAAGACTGTTCAGGTGGAAGCAAAAATAGGACAATTCTCAAAAACACTGAACTTTGGGGATCTGTGATGTGATAAACAGTTATTAATTGAGAAACAGACATTAAAATGAGACTCATTGCAAGTGATATATCAATCAATTGACCAAATACAAAGCTTAAAATACCACCCCTCCCACTCTGAGGTCTGACTTTCTCCATTCCTCTAACATGGGGATCAGGTGTCTCCCTAAGAGGCCACTGACATAATAAATTGTGGCAACACTCAAATACGGATTTGGACATAGTTTCCAAGGTAAGCACTATTGGCCTTAAAATTGGAAAATTGCAATTAGTTGTTTAAAAAAGTTGCTTAACTAGGCACTGACTTAATTTTTCTCAAGTTTTAACCGAAAAGGGGTGGGAGATTAAGTCAACAACAGCACACATCAAAAAATGACAAAAGAACAAAAAAGTTAAGGTTTGGTGGAACCCTCCCAAAATCATTGTAGAGTCATACAAACTAATGAATAGCAGGATCTATTTTTTTCTGGTATTTACAGTTGAATATAAATACTCCACTCCATTCTTTCTTAGATGTGTCTTTTCATTCTGAAATTGAGCTTTTGAAATGGCAAAAACTAAAAACTGCACCCAGAAGTTCGTTAAACTGAATTTAGAAAGACCCAAATAAACTCACAATTACTCCCAAGTTTCCCAATCTGTAAAATGTTCCATTCTCGAGTTTCCCTTGAACAGACGTGACAGGACTGGAGTGTTTATTTTTTTCTACCCCAAAAGTCCTCTCCCATTTATCTGTAGCTTCCCTTTGCCATGTAAATACTAATAAAGTAATTGCAAAGTTTACTCATTGAAAGTCATTCTTAAGAATTATTTACTTGTAGGAATGGTGAATACTTTGGGCATATATTCAGAGACAGGATTTGATGAGGTGTGTACAGAATAAAGTATTTAACCATGACCCTTACCTTTCAGAAGTCAAGGAAACCTTTTTAAAATGCAATACTTGAGTGTTTGACTCTTTTTGTTAGAGAATCTGTGATTGACCTAAAGTATGCGATGAGACACAAAGCAAATGGGTGTCGAGACTGAGAAGGTAAGTGGAGGATCAACATTTCCCACCTGTCCCTGTGCTGGGATTGTTGTTCAGTTCCCTTTAAGCTGGCTTTGTAGGACCAGGTAATCAGTCTGCACCAGCTTGCCCAGGACTGAGGACACAGGCCTGGGAACACAGGATTTAGTGCTAAAACCAGGGAAGTCGTGGGCAAATCTGGATGAGTCGGTTGCCCTTAGGTTTGACTGTGCTCTTTGATAGTAATAGTTTAACATAGAAAATGCAGCTGTGAAGTAACTGTGATGTAAGTCTAATAAAATTACGACCCCTAGCCATTTTGGGGGTATATGTATAATCACTCATGGCATCACAGAATGTAAAATCCCTGGTTCCTTTTTTGATCTTTCTCATGGGTTTCATATACTCGTAACTGCAGGTGACCAGGTGCAGAGTGGGGTCAGTTGAATCCTGACCTGGTACCTCTGTGGGCTTCTAAGTCATGGGAGCAGACGCCTCACTGGCTGGTACCCTGGAGTAGTGAAGTGCCTGAACCGGCAAATAGATTGAATCTGGAGTAGTATTGAGGCTCTGTTTCTGGGGTAGTAAAGAAACTATGGGGTTACTGGGTTCAACAATGTTGGCTAAGCTCTGGGTAAGGATTGTCACTCATTACAGGGTGGTGGTGTACTGTCACTCATTACAGGGTGGTGGTGTACTGCTGTGTAGATTGGGCACTGCACAGATCAATAGGGGCCATTCACATTTTTGTCTGTGTGAAAAATGCCTCCCGCAGCACCTGTGCATGGCTGGGAGTGGTGGCCTTGTTCTTACAGAACCTGGTGGGTGTGGTTGGGCCCCACACTCTTTGGAGAACCCCCATTCTTGGGCAGTGACTGAGGAGGCAATAGAGAAGGGTCCTGATAAATCCCAGAGGCAGTGCATGGCTGGGAGTGGTGGCCTTGTTCTTACAGAACAAGGGTGGTGTGGTTGGGCCTCACACTCTTTGGAGAACCCCCATTCTTGGGCAGCGATTGAGGAGGCAATAGAGAAGAAGAAGGTGGCTTCACCAGCCAGGTCCTGATAAATCCCAGAGGCCTGAGTTATCTGACCTCACTCATCTCGAAGCCTACCTTCCATGCTCTCTAATAAAAGTTCCTACGTGAACAGGGGAGTGACATACATCAAGCTCCTGTGTACCCAACCGAGTCTTCCTGCTGACGCCGATGACTAGCACTTCAACTTCAAGCCAAATGAGTCCTGCCCACAGAGGGGAAGCTAAGTCAAGAGCCCCTGAGTGTTTCCATGAGGAGACATCCATCCACAGCTCCCACCAGCCGTCTCTTGTTTTATCAGTATTGCTCCTGAACATCCTTCCTCTTTCCTACTCTAGTGAGGAAATAGTGGGCTAAACACAAACCAAGTAACAATGTCTTAATCAGGGCAGATGAGAGAACAGACACACTGGATGTAAGGTGAAATGACTTCAGGAAAAAAATGGAGATTATTTGGAAATAACACTTGAATTTTCCAAATATCACCTGAGATACATGTTTTATGAGATTGAATGGGATGGAGGTTATAATTAGGAAACTTTTCTGCTGATACACAAGATAACTCCCTTTCAGAGGGTGTGTTATTTCCAAATGTATTAAAAAGGAGCCTGTTGGGTCTGGATTGTGTGGCTCAGTGGTTGAGCATCGACCGACCCATCAACCAAGAGGTCATGGTGAGATTCCTGGTTGGGGCACATGACCGGGTTCCAGGCTCGATCCCCAGTGAGGGACATGCAGGAGGCAGCATATTGATGATATTTCTCTCAAATCGTTGATGTTTCAATCTCTTTATCCCTCTCCCTTCCTCTCTCTCTAAAAATCAACAAAAACACATTTAAAGAAATATATTTTTAAAAGGAGCCTGTTGGGCAAGGTGAAAGGAGGAATTCCATCACATAGGTGTTGTTGTTTTTTTAATTAAATAAATATTGGATATGGTTTATCTCAACTAACAACTAAACAGTTAAAAAGAGATGATGCCTGCTCTCATTATAGCTATGAAACCTGAATGCCACAAGAAGAAAGTGGGGACGTTGGGGTGGTTATAGTCAGAAGGGCTGTCCCTTCTCCCCAGTCCCTCCTCAATTTTTTCCTCATTGTTTTGGGATTTTTGCATGGAAGTCCACAGTGGCTGTGTGATTACTTACAATGTTCCACAGGGCATGCATCTTCCTTTAAGAATCATCAGTATTAGACAGAAATTCCTGGGAGCACCTGATTGATAGTATTTGTCATCCAACAAGAGTTTTTCCCCATCAGCAAAGGTGTTACAAGGTTTAGGAGGAAATTCTCATTAGACAGAAATGGACATGGCAGTGGAATTCATTGGCAAGAGCATTGATCTCTATTTAGTTGCTGTAGCTGCAAAATTATTCCATCCATATCCACATTTTGTTTAAGAGCAACTTAAGGAGAGGGACTATGTCAGAGCACCGTGCTAACAGCCAGGTTTGTGCTGTGGGCCTTCACACTTGCTTCCCCTTCTGCTGCACTTCTTTTGCTGCAGATGTTTGTGGGACTGACTCCCCATCATTTGGATTTATACTCAGATGGGCTGTCTAATATCCCCTCTCCTCACTCAGCCACTGGGCATGACATTCTTCATGGTATTTTTCAGTGTCTGAAACTATCTGATTTCTTTGCTGACTTGCTGGCTATATAGACTCCTCCACTGGGAAGCAGGTACCCTGAGAGCAGGGACCTCGTCTGTGTTTCTCATTAGTGTGTCTCAGCACCTAGGTAGGTGCGCAGTGAACCAGACTGAATGGGTGGGTTAATGCTAAAGGAAGGCATTGCCATGACGATAGCTAAACATGACTTGTCCCTGCGCTCTCTCTAATTGACTTGATAATCAGGGAAAGGCAAAAGGCACTATTTAGGGTCAATGTTTGTAACAAAAATGAATTATTTGATTGGGTGCTTTGTGTTTCCAACGTTGCCATCTTCTCTGTTTTAAGCCGAATTTCACTTGACCCTGAGCATCAGAAGGCGCAGGAGAGAAAACAAGAAGACATGGCAAAGAGGAAAGAAATTAAAACGCATGTAGAGGTAAGAGGAGAAGAAACTGGAAGAGAACCAGGGCTGTTTAAGGAGATGGTTTCACGTTTTGGGTGCTGGTGTCTTAGCTCAGAATGGGATTTTAGGGGCCCTGGTTTTTCTTTGTTTGTTTCCACTGCGTGTGGTAATGTCATCATTTCTTTTTAAATGGTTCTAGGTTGCAGATTTACATTATTTTTCAAATCAAACCCTATTTTCATAGGAAGAAATGAGGCAAGGACATGCATAATCTACTATTTTTGAAGGACTCAAGCAAATACATGTTTGGTTGCGAATTCCAAACTCTCACAAAGAGATACAAATCCACCTAAAATATACTTCCCTTTGTTTAGTCCTTAAAGTGTCAAGTATTGCACTTTAAAATTACTTTCATCTAACATTTTTGCCCCAACTTTCCCCCCTGGACTCACTGTGTGGTTTTTTCCCCCCAGCAAACATGATTTTTATGAATCTTTCACATTAAAGCAACTAGGTTCTTCTAATTCAGCTTTGGAGATTGCCTCTACAGAACTATTTTGAGCAAATGGCAGATCTACTTACAGAATTGGGATATGGGGGCATCCAGCTGGGGCACGTTCCCTCCCTTGGCGTTGAGTTTCTGCACTTGGGTCGGGGGCACAGGCTTGTGTGACTGCCCAGTGGCCCGGTACATGGCTTGGACCCACAGGATGCGATCTTGCTCGTCATCACTTGCAAATATCACGGTGTCTCCTTCTTTGACTGCATTGAAGAAGGCTCGGCCACCTTCCAAACCTGGAATAAAAGCAATAAAAACGACTAAGCTGAGCTCAATGTTCTTGGCCGGACTGAGCCCCGAGAAAGGTGGATTCTGCTGCTTTTCCTTGGGCCAGAGAGGGCAGGAGCAGTTGGTCTGACTCTAGTGGGAAGGAAGGCTGCCACCCACTTGGCCAGAGGGGGGGGCCATGATGGTAAAGAGGCAGCTTTGAGCGTGGCTTTTGTCTCTATCTTTGTCTGGGGCCAGAATGATCAAGCAGGCTGCCTACTGGCTGGGTGAACGTCTGCCTATACATATACTATTATTTTTCTCATCTTTCAAACAAATAAACAACAACAAAAATATCTCTTGACCCATACCTCTCCCTTCTCCTTCCTGCGGCAGGGGATAGCTACCAGGGTTGCTCAACTTTTAGTGCAGGTGTGAGTCTCCTGGGCATCTTGTTAAAATGCAGCTTCCTATTCAGAGAGTCTGCATTTCTAACAAGTTCCGGACCATGCAGATGGTGTTGGTGCAAGGACCACGCTTCTATTCTGCCCACAGCCCCTCCAAGCAGGCTATTGCCCCACCGAAA